GAGACAAAACTGCCTCTTGCTTTTGAGACCTTCCTTTCAGCTCAGACTGCAGGGCTACGTTCCAGGAAGCGGCAGTGGGTAGATTGAAGCTCTCTGCAGTTACAGAATGATGAGGCAAGGGTAACTGTCAAGGCATTGGTCTGAAACTTGTACATCCTTGCCTTGCTGTCATCCGGAATCATGTCTTCAGAAAAAAATAACACAACTGACTTGCAAGTGCTTGCTGTATGTATATATATAAATAGACAGACATGAAACCACAAATGCAGATGTCTGAGGCCAGAAGAAGTAAAATATATGATTGTTTCTACAGAAGTAGATTTTCTGCTGTGGCTTTTGCTGTAATATCTTGGGCAGGGGGAGGGGCAGGGAGGGGAAAAAATCACCCTGCAATTCATCTCCTTTGTCATTAGGCGTCATTGCAAAGCTATTTCTCCAGGAAAATGCTAAATGAGTGTTTCCTTTTGCTACATTCATTACAGACAAATAAATAGGCAAATAAAGACAAAAAGGAAGATGAAATATATTTTTAATTAAACTCAGACACAGAAACTTTATATTCCATGAATTTGCTTCACTTCACCCTTAATGACAAATACACTGGAAGCTCACTTCCACACTAGAGGGATGTCAAAACATTTTTGTGAGATTTCTCTCAATTGCGGGCAAGAGCCTTAGTTCCAGATTCTCACGGTGCCATCAGAGCCACCTGAAACTAGATGCTCTGCTTTATGATCAAATATGACGCTTTGGACCTCATCTTCATGGCCCAACAAGCTGGAAAGTTGCCCGGACTTCAGCTCTAAGGTCTTGACAGTTCCATCATTGCTTGCAAGAGCCACAATATGACCTGTAATGCAAGGCAAGGTAATCAGAGGTCTATAAGACACAGAAGCAAATATTTGACAGCTCCACCCCAGACACTGTAGATCCTCACACTTGGTTTGTCCATTTTCTGCATAAAGCCATGGATACAGATAATCAGATACTTTAACAGCAACAACAAAAAGCAAAGCAAATCAATATTGGAGATTAAATGTCAGAGTTAAGTCCATTCAAATATGACAAAGTACTGTGAGAGGTATTATTTAATGTTAAGATTTATGTGTCTGTGTTTAACACTCTCCTCCGGTATGTTCATTTTCTGTGCTAAGGAAACAAAGTTATGAAGTCAAACTTAAACAACATAGTTAAAATTAACTCCATGCCTCAATAAAGTAATCTCATTTGTTTCATATACATCTCTTCAGTTGGCTGCTCTTCAGTTGCTGTGTGGTGAAAAAAATGCAAAAAAGCAAATTCCTTTCAAGAGAAAGAAATGTATTTTTTTTCTTTTTACATTTTTAAAAACCACACAGGTATGTATAAATAAGAATTGACTTGCAAGGAAATGTGAACATAGCTCATAAGAATACAACAATTTGGAATGTGTAGCAGGGAATCTGGGCTCCTCAACAGAACAATTATTCTTATCATCTTATCCCTTGGAGGCACAGGATTGCATCACATTCTCATTGGGGCATTTTTCCTGTAATCTCATCTCCCTTCAATCCCATTCACTTAAATGGAGATGGCAGTCCTGACTGAAGGAAACAGGGAAGCCCTCTTGCAGAGAAGAACATATGCTCCATAATATAAGGATCTGGCTCATGTAGGCTTAGACATTTCAGTGATATAAGCAGTGAAACTTGCTGTATGAAACACAAATGATACCAAGATCTGAATCAACAGATGATCCTTCCAGAATAAGTCAGAAACCAAGAGTGGAGGACAGAAAAAGGGTCATTGGTGAGGATACAGGAAGTCCCTTTATTGGAAACTCATAGAATCTGAAGAATCTGGGGCTTCAGATAGTTCCACTTGAGCTGAGGGCCTAATTCATGGAACAATTAAATGGAAGGAACTGTTGACATGACACAATTTCTACTGCTGTCATGATGTCCATGATGGCTGCTAGATTCCTGGTCATTTTTGACCAATTTACTAGATGGAGCCATACTACACTAATTCGGAAGGAACTATGTCAGCTTCCTAAGTATTTTTAATTCAAGATGGCACTGATCACCCTTAAAACTGCAAACACTGGGTCCCAAACATCTGAAGAACTTTTCTCATATGTATGTTCTTTACTTCTATATTGCTATACTTCTATATTGCTATACTAAAAAACAAGTGGCTGAAATAATGAAACAATGATAAAACAGTGAAACAATTCAGAAAAACCTCTAAGCAAACAAGTCTCAGGGTGGTGCAGGAAACATTTCTCAGTGGGAATCCACCTAATCTCAGTGGGGAGATGATTCCATAATGAATAGTGCCACTGCGAACAAGATGTTCCTCAGTACCAACACTATAGTTCCCTATTATTTCTTACATAGTTTTTTTGTTTCTGTGTTGGCTTTCTCTCAAAAGGGAATTCTGGCATGATGCCTACCTACCTATGAGTGTAACCCCATCCAGAAGAGGAAGATCATTTAACTCTCAGACCTGGAAACCACCTACATGATCTCTAGCTTTTCAGGGTTCAGTACCTGAGGATTAGACCTCATCTATACCACCACTCCATCCAAACGTAGGTTCAGGTTGTGCAGCCACATGTGAGACAGACGTGATAAGAAAGAGAGCTGTTTATGATCTGTATACTAATGGCTATCCAGCTCAAATCCCCTAATAGCCACCACAATGCTGTCATACAGAAGTTAAATAACAGTGGAGGCAAGCCAATGTTTCCTTCACACTGAGAGGTCAAGAGGATATCATGACGACTAGTATCAAAAGGCACTGAGTAATCAAAGATAATAATATAGTTAACGATAACAGCATCCCCCTTCTTCCTGTCAAAATGAAGGTCATCCATCAGAGCATTGAAAGACAGTTCTATCCCTAAATCAGGAGGTATAATACATATCCTACAAGAACCTATGAAGTTGTAACTCTCCAAGCAACTTGTCACCAAAGTGGGTATTTGTTAACTATGCAGCAATACCTGTTGTAAGGGAGGGCTGTTTCTGGCATGGTCAAACAATTGTTTGTTTAAAGGCATCTGGAACTACTTCTCAAGTAAATCTCTTGGTACATCCGCCCAGCCAATTCTCACCTAGTTCCCAATAAGTGAAAATGGGCAAGGGACAAGAGGACATGTGGTTGGCTGCTAAGTGTCATATCCACATCCTAATGTTGCTTCAACTGAAATTGATCCTACAGAACAGGACACCACAGCAGGACATATCTCAATCTTAATGTCAAAATCACAAGTGATATTGAGTGTGTGCTAAGATCTTCAGGAGGTGTTTCTCCATGTAGTATCTGTGGAAAACTATACTGGGCTTGTTTTACTTGCACACCCGGTGCCCAATAGTATTTCCTGCATTAGTTTCAAGATCACCTTGAAATCTCTCTTACAGTGGACCCATTGCAGGAAACAACTGAGAAAATTCACACTCAATCGGGAGAAATCTGTAGACATGCTACTCATCTCCTAAAATATCTCTGTCTGTGGTGTTCCTTGAGACTGGGGATGTGCACTAGCACCAAAATTCAGATTCGGAATTTGGGTTTGGAATTTGGAATGACAGCCCTTTGGATTTGGAATTTTAAAAATTCGGACTATCTGGACATCCAGAAATCTGTTACAGTCAATATGAATACTATATAATCATTATTTTCCCCTTTAAAGAAACACAAACAGGCAACACATTTTTAAAAGATTTCCTTGTGTCATCTGTCACCTTCCCAGCGATTGTGCCAAATAAAAAGAGTGCACACCAACAGCCAGCAATGTTCTGGCTATGAGGAACTGACTGTAATGGACATACTGATGGAACCCTGAACAGTGAGAATGGCAGAAGGAATGATAGCAGCACTGAGGAAGCAGAAGACAGGTTGCACTGAGAGTGGGCAAATACCCTGGGCAGGCTGGTAGGTAGACTGGAGCAGCAGATACCCTGTGGAGGGTGGGAACTGTGCCAACAGCATGGGGCACAGCACAGCTGAGTGAGTGAACATCATCTCGGAGTAGCAGATGGAAGACTGAAAGAGGCAGAAGGAGGGCAGCAGACTGAAGCAGGGCATACCGAGTCCTGTGATCAGAGTGTGTCATTCTATGTGTGTGACATATACCGCATCTCTTTCATCCTCCTAGCCTGCAGTGCTGCCACCATGTTTGCGACATTGTCCATGGCAAACAAACCTTGCCTTTCCATAGTTAGATTCTACTGCTGCAGCTCCCTCAGAGCTTCTTGAAAGTTGTGAGCTGCATGGCTGCCTTCCATCACAGCCACATTCAACAGGGCTCATCTGTATCCTACCATTGTGTGTTGCCCTATGCTTGATGCCTTCACTTCCCAGCAATGTCCTGTTAGGGAGAGACAGGCATGTTTTGCATACTGGCTGCCCCAGATGTCACTTGTCAAATGTACCACCTGTTCCCTGGCCAACTTCAGATGTACCAGTTTCCTAACACCACAGTACAAATCCTGTGGCTAAGGGGCATTCAAGATGGCAATTGACAATGTGGTGTCAGCTCTGCCACAAACCTGTGAAAACCAGTGTTCCCCACTATAGGGAATGGCTGGTAATCCTGGGCTATTATCACTCCTAGGTGACAAGTAATCCTGATATAATTGCATTTGCCAATTAGACTCTGAATATTATGAATTATTACAGATACTTATAACTATTGAATTCACATTCAAATACATGTGGAACTATCTGAATATTGCATTAGTTTATGAACTCTGAATATTTCTGGATCCAAATACCCATGCCTACTTGGGATCACTAAATAAGGAACTCTGAGGAGGCTCACGGCTACTTTGGGAGGTACATGCACACTTAGCAAGTAAGTCACTGGCAGAGAAGGGAGATCAATGATCAACATTACCCCTTTCTCTTCTGCACCTCTGCCCTCTGGTAGGACTTCCTCATAGGCTCTCACTTTTCCTTCTAATACAGAAATTAGGAACTTTTGTGGGTCCACAAGTCAGTTTCATGCCTGCAGAAACTTCTAGGAATGCTATAACAATTGAAATTGCTAGCATTATATCAGACTTAAAAGTGGGAATTTTGTTTTTGGAATGAAGGTAAATATGCTTCCAGAAATTATCTTACCAGAAATAAGCAATTGTCCCAGACAATTATATAGTCCAACAGTCAGACACCTTTTGCTATCCATTCCTTGGTGAGTGCTTTTATCACATACAGTACTTATAAACATGTATTATGTATAGAAATATAGAATACAGCCCCTAGAATTGTCCCTATAAATAAAGTATCATAGCATACGCTAAGTTATATATCTGAATTACTTCCTTAACTATGCAAGCAACACTGGTTAACAATTATGACATGCACGTACAAAACATAATCAATACATCGATTTCAAGGCAGATGTGGTCCTTTAAAGAAAGATGCTGTTGCATTTCAAGTCTTGACTGCAAGCACTTTGGGGATATAAAAGTAAGTTCAATATACTCTCAAAGTGATTACAAGCCCTTCATATGTATTGATAGTTTAGAAATCTGAGCAAAGAAGATGAATTAATTCTTTCCCAAGTTAGTGAACAATCCCAATCCTAACCCCAATCTGTGTTCAAGCTGGACCTTTTTGTAGAGCTACTACTTGGGGCCAGTCTGCAAGAAATTCCCAACAGAAGAATATTTGCAGAGGGGTACAAGACAGGGTTTCCCCCTGCCCGCTGTTATTTGACATATGTTTGGAACCAGTAGCACATGCCGTTAGACAGAATAGAACAATATATGGCTTTGTCCTTGAGCAAGTTGAATTTAAGTGCATTTAAATGCAAATGATTTATATGCAGAATTAATGAAAATAATTGAGCTTTTTGGTAAA